TGCAGGGATTGCAAGGGGGGAGTGCCTGGCAGTGCGAAAGGGGGCTCCGGTATGGGAGCCTGGCCGCCTCTGGCCACGCTGCGGCTGGGGCGCCAGCCTTCGCTCATGGCGACGGCAATGCTGTGTTGAGCGTCGAGACTGTCGAATGTATCATTTCTGCTGTAGAGGGCAGCACTGTCCCTATGATGGCCCGCTGACAGGCGCATGTCTTTGCGAAGGCGGCGCTGTGCGGCTGCCGCGAGAAGCGTGCTTTTCATGCTATGCAAACTCAATTGCTGTGCTTCGGCCGGCGTGAGGCCAGTCTGCTTGGCCTCCCAAGGCAGGGTGGCTGCCCAGCGGAGGCAAAGCATTGCGGTGCAGTATGACGCCGGGGCAAGTTCTTGCAATGCGTGGCTGTCCATGGCTGTATTGACCCAGAGGAAGTCGGGATTACCCTCACTGCCTCTGAATGGTGTGCACGCGCGTTGCAGGGCAGACAACCAATGCAGTGGCCAGCACGATGAAAGATCTCGGCCGGTGAGGCCGGCAATAGTCACAGCGAAGGGTTGCCCCTGTGAGGTGGTCTTTGTCGCAAAGCACACCCCCAGCAATGCGGTGGACGTTAAAGAGAGCGATGCGAAGTCCACTCTCTGGATGTCTCCAAAGCGAAGGCAGGCGTGAATTGCAAGGAGAGCTGCACCCAACACAAGTGTAGTGCAAATCGGGGTCGATGCGTTGCAAACATGTCGCTCCCAGGCAGCGACCAAAGCCCAAGGTATGGGCAGCGCTTCTCTTCTATCTTTGGATGTGCCTTGTGTTGCGTAGGCCGATATGACAGGGCTATGCATGTGGATGGATAAAGCGTTCCATTGCGCGTGTCTGTGGAACCAACGCAGTGCTTTGATCGCCGAGGCCGCGCTTATGCGATGGATTTCGAGGTCCTGCTTATGCGATGCTCGGGCCGCGGCAAGGTAGTCCAAGACTGCCGCAAGGGACACTTGTGCGAATTGGATTCCCATGCTATCGAGAAAGCCCATGAATTGCGATGCGATGCGAAGGTAGCGTTCTAGAGTGCCCGGAGCGAATTTTCGGATTACTGCAAGCATATGCTGCGAGGACTCTTTGGAGGGCAGTAGGGATTGCAGGAGCAGGGAGGCCATGCCGAGTCGCATGAGCAGCTGGGACCAGTGCGTGCCGCACTGCTGCATCCTGACCTCCAGTGATCTGCGGGTGCGCTGCAGCTTAACAGGCCGAGGCCGCGGCGTGCGGAGCACAGGCTGAAGCAGCGGTGCGGAGGGAGTATGCGTTGTGATCGGGGCCGCAGGGCCAAGGCTTGCGCTGGATGCTGTGCTTGTTGTCTGCGGTGGTCTGAGGCTTGTTGGCTTGCTCTTGGGCGGCGGGGGAGGCAAGCCCCCAAGATGCAGGGGAGGAGGTGACCGGGAGCGCCTGGGGGCGCCTGGTACCCGGAAGGCTTCGGCCGAAGACAGGCTATGTGGGTATGCAACGACTCTGCATGGCGAGGCTTTGGCTGTGGCTGGAGGCACTGCTAGGTCCGCCACAGTAGGCAAGGAGCCATGCGAGTGTGCTTTGGCTCTAAGTTTGCGTTCTTGGATTGGCAAGGCCGGGCTTTTACTAGACGCGGCCAGTAGATGTAGCACGCTTGCTGGGGCGGGCATTTCCTCGGCGGCGCCGTGCAGAAATTCGTCCGACGAAACCGAGATATGTGAGTCAAAATCATGCTGTTCTGTCGCAATGTCTGGTGGGCTGTCTGGCTGGGTCGGGGCGACCTCGCCCGGCAGGGCCTGGCAGACGAAGTCCAGGTGCTCCTGGAGAGAATAATCAAGGGTGCTAGGCAGAGCTTCCGTAGTGGCTTGTGGCGCAGAGTCATCGGCACTGGCTGTGGGCAGCAGGATGGGAAAGGGCGGTGCATTGTCCGCGGTCACGGCAGGAAAGCCAGGCGAGGCTGGGTGCGATGCCGACCAACGGCGTCTCATGATTACCTTGTCTGTTGAGCAAGGAAAAGGCTGCGGATGCGTGCGTGCGCAGAGCGTGCGCGCGAAGACAGGAAAGACCTAGAGAGAGTGTGCAGAGCACGCGTGCGCGAGACGAGAGGGATCCTACGAGAGCGCGCAGCATCACATCCGACAGCAGCAGTGCAACCTTGAGAAAACTGAAGCACCTGGGCCTTGCAGTGCCGAGCTGGGCTTTGGGCCGAGTGCTTGCTGGGGACCTGCAGGGCAGGGCTGTGGATTCTCTCACGAAAAATGCGAGTGCCGAGCCAAAGGCAGAGCAACCATCCAAGTTGTCCTGCAGGAGGGCACCGAAAGCAAAGGCGAATGTTTGAGAACTGCATCCGAAACAGCAGTGCGAAGCGACGCACCAGGTTTTTTCATGCGATGCAGAGCCCAAGTGACAATGCATGCGTTGCTTAGCTGCGTCAGCAGCGCCCAAGCGGCGCAATGCTGAAAAAAAGAGCTGCAGGATTCCCGAATTTGCGTTGCAAGCTGTGCGGTGCGGGGCTAAGCTTGGCCTGAGGTAGTGCTTTAAGGATTTTATGAGGGGCGGTGCGGGGCTTTGCAAAGCGGAGCTAGTCGCTGAGCTCTCCCTGCTCTTCGAGCTCTTTGCATTTGCTGCAGCGATGCAGGAGGTGGTTGTCCTCCTCCCAGGCCTCTTTCAGAGGCTTGTTGCAGGGCCTCCTGCGGAACCGGCAGTGCGGTGCGTCGCAGGCCACTGCGCAGACGACACGGCCCGTTTTGGGCAATCTATAGGCCGGCCTCCTGGAGCCGTCGCCAGCAGTGTACCACTTCACCTGCGTCTGCACCCAAGGGCTTTGCGGGAAGG